ACAGTTGAGTTGGACACATGGTATTTGTATTGGGAAATAACAGAGATACAGTTGAGTTGGACACATGGTATTTGTATTGGGAAATAACAGAGATACAGTTGAGTTGGACACATGGTATTTGTATTGGGAAATAACAGAGATACAGTTGAGTTGGACACATGGTATTTGTATTGGGAGATAACACAGCTGGAGTGATAACACAGTCAAGTTGGACACAGATACAGGGATTTTAATGTTATTTCCCTAGCCTGTATCTATACCATTTGCTTGTCATGTCCCTGCAGGCCGACTGGACTTTATTCCCCACTGCAGTGGACATGGGCGCTTCAGCTTGGATGTGTGTGGCTGCGTTTGTGAGGACGGCTGGACCGGCAGGAACTGCTCAGAGGCACGATGCCCAGGTGACTGCTCAGGCCAGGGCATGTGCGTGGAGGGAGAGTGTGTGTGCGACAGCGACTTCACTGGTGAGAACTGCTCAGAGGCTCGCTGTCCCAGTGACTGCTCTGGCCGGGGGCTGTGCATCGACGGGGAGTGCGTGTGTGAGGAGGTCTACACTGGGGAGGACTGCTCCCTGGGGCGCTGCCTCAATGACTGCTCTGACCGGGGGCTCTGCATCAACGGCACGTGTCGGTGCAACTCGGGCTACACTGGGGAGGACTGCAGCCTGACTACCTGCTCCAACAACTGCAGCCAGAAGGGCAGCTGCAGCCTGGGCATGTGCAGCTGTCAGGAGGGCTTTGCTGGAGATGACTGCTCCTCAGGTAAGGCTTAGAGGAGAGTCTCACTGGAGCACTGCTTCTTTTTCCAGGCAACGCAGTGGGGCTTTTAGCTCATAATCAGGAGCAGTGCCAAGGTAACATGGTCGATATAAAATAATGCAACAACACAAGGAGGTAAAAGCAGCTACCTGTTGAGATGGTTACCTTTCACAATTTGAACTATTTATTTTACTAACTAAAATAAATAAAATGATTGTGACCAAGCTTATGGCTACAGTGATAGGTGTGATAACAAGAGAGACTTGAACCATTCTCCAAATAAAAAAAAAATAGTCTGTGCAGAAATTGTGCCAGTTCTTAAAGGAATAGCTTTAATGTGACAAAATCACATGGCGTTCCAATAACTTCAAACCTGTGTTACACCATAGTGTCTACAACCTCACCTATAACCACAGTGTCTATAACCTCATCTATATCCACAGTGCCTATAACCTCACATATAACCACAGTGTCTACAACCTCACCTATAACCACAGTGTCTATAACCTCATCTATATCCACAATGTCTATAACCTCACATATAACCACAGTGTCTACAACCTCACCTATAACCACAGTGTCTATAACCTCATCTATATCCACAGTGCCTATAACCTCACATATAACCACAGTGTCTACAACCTCACCTATAACCACAGTGTCTAAACCTCACCTATATCCACAATGTCTATAACCTCACATATAACCACAGTGTCTATAACCTCTCCTATAACCAAAGTGTCTATAACCTCTCCTATAACCACAGTGTCTATAACCTCTTATAACCTTTAACCACTTGTATGCGTGTAAGTTGAATAGCTACAAAGACAGTCTGCATTCTTATTGAACACTTTTATCAATCTATCTATCCATTATTGAAAATCACTTATCAGATTCAGGGGTGCAATGGGCTGGGAACCTACTCAGGAAAGCACAGGGTAAGCACAGCACCCCCTGGAGGTGATGCCAATGCATCACAGGGCATCTACCAACACACCATCACACATAAGAGACACCTAGGTTCCTTAAGCTAAAATGTAATTTTACTTGTCTTTTGTGTGTGTGTGTTTGTGTGTGTGTGTTCATATTTTACACAGGTGCATAACCATAATTTGAGAAATGAGTGAAAATTTTGCTGTGGTCTCTTGATTTTTTCCAGAGCTGTATTTATATAACTGTCCTGCCTTCAAGGAAATCCTTTCCACAGGTACATATGATGCAATGACTCCCAACTTTGTCAGTTATGCCCCATTCATCAATGATTCTTTTTAATCCTGAGCAAATGTTGTCACTGCTGTGTTGTCCTGAAAACTACAGATTTCTAGGACATTTGCTTACATTTCCTACACACATCGCAGTTTGCAATGTTTTCATCTACAGCCATAAAATATCTCTATACGATGGTCCTCTTTCTCTCTGCCATGCCGTCATGCTCTCACTGTGCAGCCGACACGTCTGCTCAGTGCTACTGAATCACGTGGAGGCTCAACAGCAAAACACAGCAGAGCAGAGGCGCAGGAGGAGCAAAATGTGCTTGCAAGATGTGAAAGGAGTGGTGTTTGCACAGACATAGAGGAGAAAAAACTAAAGTATGGATCCCATCATGCTAGTATCAATCATTGTATCAGTCCGACACTGATACCAACTATCGATATTTGGATCGATCTACTCAACCATAGTGGGAAGGAGAAAAAGTCCCTGGAGGAAAGCGACATGGGCAGGACCCAGAATGCTTGTGAGTTACTGATAATCACATAACCAAGCATCTAGGCCAGACGATCAACATTATTTAGGGCAGGATAGCTGGGCAGGGCAGGTTTAATTACAGGTAAGGCAGGCGAAACGTAGACTGACAATACAATGACCAGACTGGGGAAACAAACTGAAACGCGGCCGAAATACAGAGGGCTAATAAAAACAACCAGAAACAGCTGATCACACGAGGATTCCACACGGGGTTAATGAGGGGGCGTGGCACACGGAAGGAGCAGACAATCGGGACACGACACATTGTTTGGATAAATTTATTTTCTTACTTTACAAATTACTGTTTTGATGAATGTGCTTAAATGTGTTTAGTTCAGTATATGCTCTTCTTGTTTTATTCTGTTCATTTTGTGTTTAAATGCTAAAAAAAAAAAAAACATTTAGGTGTAATTTTGGGGGGTCGGGAACCAATTAATTGGTTTTCCATTATTTCTTACGGGAAAAATTCGATCAAAACTCAAACTTTTTAGTATTTGTATAAATTATTACCTTACACTGCAGTGGTACCTCAGAATTCGAACTTAATCCGTTCGATCATAAATAGACGATAAAGATCTTATCCCAACATTACCCCTGTCCTGCCCCGATTGTCCTCTCCTTCCATGTGCCACGCCCCCTCGTTAACCTGGTGTGGGATCCCCATGTGATCAGCTGTTTCTGGTTGTTGTTATTAGTCCTCTGTATTAAGTCCGGTCATTGGGTGCGTTCGACTTGCTTACAGCGCTGGCTTGAAGCAAGGCATTCTGATCCTGACGCAATGCATTACGGTTAGATGCATTGCGACCTCTCACCCGGCTGCACAAACTGGAACCGCCTCCGTGACGACACACCTTTGCCCTTATTGGCTGAAGAGTTTGTATCCCAGGCAGCATTATTTTACTTGTTTGCATCTCATCACAGAGCCAGAATCAGATCCAAAATAAGAGTGAGAAGCAGTTTCTGGCCAAGTTCCTCCAGCTGCAGGGCCTGGAATGATGCCTGGATTCGGAAGCAGTGATTCGCTGCCCTCCTGGCTTCACTTCAATCATTATTAATGAACAGAAGTCACTCTTTGTGTGTCCAAGGACAGTGGGCCTGTGCACAGCAACAGCCATCCTCATGGTTTGGGGGTTTATTTTCCTTTGAGTCCATCACACTCCAGATTTCCTTTTCTGAGCTCTTACCTAGTAAAAAGTTGTAAAAAGGGTTTTTCAATCATTGGCAGTGCAGCTTGTCAGGATACTTTCAGTGGTGCCTCGATAGAAGGAGGCCATGATCTGTACCGGAGCCCCAGCTCTCTTTAATCTATGGAGGAAGTAGAGGCATCTCACTGATTTCCCTATTTGGCCTGTTCATTCATACCTCCAGACTCAGAGCCCTATACCTGTGGTGCTGAGTCTCATATGGAATTTTGCTAACATCCTTCAGCAAGGTATTGAAAATGCCATGTATGACATTGAAGAAAAGATCTCCTGTAGACAGCCCTCTGAAACCTAAAAAAATAGCATAGATAATGAATAGACAGCAAAAATAAATAACTGATAGTAATTGATTAATAAAATGAGTAAAATGGGATTTTGAAATGCTTTGAGTCAATAACAAGAAGCTGCTTTCACACCAAAATTCTTTCACACCACACAACGGGATCTGGGACCTTCACGCTAAATAAACATGGGAGACGTAAAAAGCTCACAGGCTAAACTTCATATATAATTTGAAACCACAAATGCAAGTAAAAAATAATTTAATCTGCCTAATTTAGCTTTGATAAATATATCTCTTTTCTTGCACTTCCATGTAACTTCCAAGTTAGTGCCAGTGCTTATAGTCAACCAATCAGCAAGTTTATCACTGTAAGCATCTCCCCAGTAGTTCGTCTTCTAACGAAAAGTACCGAGTCTGGAGCAGGGACTAAAAAGGGTTCCAGAACTGCCTCAAAGGAACTATCTTCGGGCTGGGTTCCTGTGGTGCGAAGACGATTCTGGAAACATCCTGATTGTGGAAACATTTTCTGGTTCCAGAAAAATGTTCCTGCAGTGTGAAAGTGCCTATTAGTGAAATAATGTATATTTTTATGGGCAAATGTGTCAATGAGTGATAACTAAATACTATTCAGGAGCCGAAGAGCAAAGCGTCCCCAGGGCGTGAACCGCTACCTCCCAGCTAACGGCACTGACTGGTTCACTGCCTGCCTGGTTCCCTGCAGTGGCTCCACCCCTGAACCTGCATGTTCTGGACATAACGGAGCACAGCATCCAGCTGGGCTGGGAGGGCTCGCTGGCTTCGACAGACTACCTAATCACTTATGTGGCCACCAGTCCTGGCGGAGTCCAGCAGGAAATGCGAGTGCCTGGAAGCCAGAGCAGATGCACCATCACTGAGCTTGAGCCCGGAATGGAGTACAGCATCAGTGTCTATGCCACACTCAACAGCAAAGCCAGCCTGCCAGTCAGCACTCAGGTGTCCACTTGTAAGTCAGCTTCTCGCCTGTCATTTACCTCTTTCAGGAGCCCTTACTTGGTCTAGACTACAGATGATGTGGCATGTTAAGAGGAAAGCAGAGGTTAGGAGCATCCCAAGGCATCGCTGACTGGATACGGTGATGGGTGAAGCATCCTCACCCAGATAGGCATTAAAATGGCCCATTTCAGCCATGTTGGATGACTCTGCAGAAAAAGAAAGGTTGTTACATTTGTAACAATACACGTAACACAGACAGGCTGTTACATTTTTAAATAAATTTCCCCAGCTGAGTTGTGATAGGAAAATATCATGAGACACATGGCAGAGCAGGTTCATAGAGTATTCTCTGATTTGCTAAATAGTAATTTAAAACTTTATAAAATATTAGCAAAACTATGAACCATGGACCTTTTATGACAAATGTCAACAAGCACAACATTTAAATTTGTAGGATGGTCCTGCCAAGCAGCTGGGATAAAGTAATGCAGTTGGGGGTATGTTGTGTTGTTCTAAAGGCTTTTCATCTCTCTGGCCAGTAGAGAGGTGATCAGACCTTCATCACCTGACGGAGCGCTGTAGCATGCAGCCATCTTACAGATGTTTAAGTGCCCCATAAGGACATCCTCTGCAGATACTTGACCATTCAAGCTCTGCTTCTGTCAGTGCATTTAAAAATACAGTACAGAATCAAACAGATAATTAATAATGCCAGTAATGCAAAGATCCATCCATCCATCCATTTTCTGTAACCACTTATCCCATTCAAGGTCATTGGGAACTGGACCCTCAAAGATATGAGGTAGGGTTAAAAACCAAACATATTATCTATTTTATCCCAGAAGATAGCAGGACATTTTAAAGTTGTCTGGTATCACTATTACAAAAACAGATAAAGCAAATACATAACTGAAAACACTTTAACCCTCGGCTGAAAGATATGCGAGCAGCGCATCCCCAGTGTATCTAGGAAAGCTGTGTTGCACTTCTGTTAAAATAATGCTTTCCATTGGGTAGGTCTGCTCTGACACTCCATTTAAAAATTCCTTGACTGATTGAACATACTAAGCAAAGTGGCAGAGTGGCAGAGACCCATAATACTTTTATTATTTTTATTATTTATAGATCTGTCCAGTCCAGAAGGTTTAGTCTTCAAATCCATCACAGAGACATCAGTACAGGTGCAATGGGTGCCCTTCTCCTACGCTTTTGATGGTTGGGAAATAAGTTTCACCCCCAAGGTAAGTCTTTGTGTGGATGTCCGTCAGTCAGTCGGCACTTACTGTATATTTACTGTATATATTGTATAACAGCACAGTGTCATTCTGTTTGAAATTTGGAGGGACCAGGTGGTGAAAAACAAGCTCAGTATGTTTCTACTACTTTTATGTTTAACATATTATTGTTATCACCTGCCTACTTACTATGAATAATCTGAGGGGACTTTTATTCCAGTTCATCCCAAATAAGCTTTTACAGCAGCACTTTGTTATACAGTGAAAGGTGAGTGCTCTGTAAACACAATATACAGGAAGAATACTCTTTTTTAATACAGCATTCTTAGAGCAGACATGTCCATTTTCTGCATGGTAAAACCATTGTCATTTTCAAAGCAGTAGCAAAGGAAGTCTCTCTACCTCTGCTTGAAATGTCCAGTTAAAGTATTCTTTCCTTCTCCTACTTAAGTAAATTGACGATTTACTGCTATGGCTTCAAGGTGCCTTTTGAAAGCTTAGGACCATACAAGCTGCAACTTAAAAGTTATTTTTTTCCACTCTCTGAACATTAAATTGTTTGATGTCATCCAACAGTTAATTTTCTGTCCATTAGATTCCCTTTGAGAAGGAAAAAGGTTAGAGCAGTCTGAGCTTTCACAACATTACATAGATGAAAGGGACAAAGGTCCAAAAAAAGCTGACCAGAATACAAAGCACTGCACCTGTAGTGGATCTGTCTGTACTTTCATCTAGAGAATTGGTCACACTGGACCTGCTCTCATCTGTGCCCCATTCCTTATGAGGTGGGTCCTCACCCGGCCGCTTTTATTGAGAAAATATGATTCCGGTTGAAATTTGGGCCTCTAGACATAAGCCATCATTCTGGAACCAGTCTCTGTGATCAAGCGAACCAAAAGAAGACGATAACAGCAAGTCCTTCTAATGCAAGTGTTCATGTGTCACTCTGCTGCATGTTTCAGGAATATTTCTAAAAATTTCTGAAGAATAAAAACTGGAATTATTGGTTTCTGGGAATTGCTTTGAGAAGTGTCACAAAGCATTATAGATAAATGCTAGAGTAACTTCATGGTACCCGCTCTGACTGATGATGATAATGACGATGATGTGTTTCCTTGTAGGACAATGAGGGTGGCATGACAGCCCAGCTACCCAGTACTGTCACTTCCTTCAATCAAACAGGCCTCAGGCCTGGGGAGGAGTACACAGTCAACCTGGTGGCCCTGAAGGAACAGGGCCGGAGCCAACCGCTGACCGTCACCGTCACAACATGTGAGTCCAGCTGTGTCTTCCAAGGGGTCGTAACATTAAAGCCCCATACATCCCTATCACAGCACATTCTGCAGCCCATAATGTCTCCCTAGGTGCCACTGACTCTTTCCAACATGCACAGACCTAATAACCTTTTGAATGTCGCTCGTATATCGAGTCACTGTGTTCTTCACTATATGATAAGAACATGCAATTATCTGTCTTTTTACGTCACTATGTCTGTCTGTGAATAGTCAGCTGTCTGAGTGCAGGATTTCTTTTTACAACATAATCTATGCAATATATTTTATTATTCGTGTACAGGTGGCCCAATAATGAGAAATATTCTGCTGATGAATTGGCTTGTCAATTAGATCAATTAGGTGTTTAATGCAAACCTCAAGCAGACACTCCTCCTAGTCAGAGGCAGAGGGACGTATTTTTACTGTTGTTTTTAAATTGGAATTTATGTCATGTATCGACAATAAGTTCCTGATAAACATCTATTAGAATTGCCACGTGAATATTTAATACGTACACAGCAGATTCCTTATTTATTTAAAGCTGGTCATTTATTTACATAGCTGATGATGTATGCATAATTCCATTAAAGAGATTAAATTGTTTTAATGAGGTTAAGACCAATATTTCCAACCTGACTGATTAGAAATAATATGCTTATTAAAGCATAATGGCAGCCATGCATGTATAATATAAGCTTATCCCCTTTGCAGCTTCATTAAATAGGCAGACATGACAAGCGCTTCTCAATACAGCTTGTCTGTCTCCCTTGTGACCACAAAGCTGACTTCACTTCACTATGCATAGATTTCTCCTCTCTGTGAATAAGTCATTTTTAGCATAGTGGTAAGAAGCATGTAACTGAGAAGAGTGTGTATATACATGGTGAGTTATGTATTATTATTGTATATGTGTCTGCAACACATTCTACTGACAAATGATTGATTGATTGATCGTAATGATGGTTATACGTAAAGTAAAATGAAGCCGAAGTGAAACATCTCATTTTCCCCAGTGATCGATGGACCCACGCTGCTCACAGTGCGAGACACATCTGATACAGTGGCATTTGTCGAGTGGCGTCCCCCTAAGGCCAAGGTGGACCAGCTGCTCCTGCGCTATGGGTTGCTGGGCAGGGATGGATCTAAGACCACCTTCCGACTGCAGCCAACTCAGAGCCAGTACTCACTCCAGGTTCTGCGGCCTGGGTCACGGTATGAAGTGTCAGTGAGTGGGATCCGGAATGGCAATGAGAGCACAGCTGTCTGCACCTGGTTCACAACTGGTGAGGAAACTGAACTGTGTGGAAGCATGTCAGCAAAATACACTACGATGTCAGAAAGACATCCCCGTTACACACTAAGGTGTCAGAAAGACACCCCCGTTGCACACTAAGGTGTCAGAAAGACACCCCTGTTACACACTAAGGTATCAAGAAGACAGCCCCATCACACACTAAGGTGTCAGAAAGACACCCCCGTTACACACTAAGGTATCAAGAAGACAGCCCCATCACACACTAAGGTGTCAGAAAGACACCCCCGTTACACACTAAGGCAGGGGTCACCAACCTTTTTGAAACTGAGAGCTACTTCACGGGTACTGAGCTATACGAAGGGCTACCAGTTTGAAACACCCTCCTAAACTTATCTAAACTTAATGTATAATAAACATGTTTTTAATCCTTTTTTTAGATATTGTCATTTTCAAATCTATATAAATGCAAATGTGATTAAAGAAGAATAGCAACAGGATAAAATTAAATTTTAGATGCTGCTCACTTGTGAGTTGTGCTATTTTTAGATCAGGTCTGCGGGCGACTCATGTGGTCCTTGGGGGCATCCTGGTGCTCATGGGCACCATGTTGGTGACCCCTGCACTAAGGTATCAAGAAGATAGCCCCATCATACACCAAGGTGCCAGAAATACACCCCTGTCACACACTAAGGTGTCAAGAAGAAACCCCTATAATACTCAGTTGCCATGGACTTTATTAATTTATTACAGTCTACATTAGTGCACCGTGCCAAATAATGCTTTGAACACTTTGAAAATGTGAACTGAAATCAACTTTTTTAACTGCATATTTAAGCTACGTACTGGAATCAGATTTACCTTCAGCAACTTCTTTGATGTTGTTGTTCTGTTTTCCACAGAGATCGATGCCCCTAAAAACCCCAGGGTGCTGTCCATGACATCCACGGCGCTGGAGCTGGAGTGGGACAACAGTGAGGCAGATGTGGAGGCTTACCAAGTCGTCTACAGCACTTTGGCGGGGGATCAGTATGACACTGTCATAGTCACCCCCGGTGACGGTCCAACCAGCAAGGCAACACTTACTGGTAATCATCTTCTCTGCAACATTGGCTGTAAAGATATCCATCCATCCATCCATCCATCCAATGTGGCACAAACTTACAACATTAGGTGCCCATACATCCTTTTTGTCCTGGACTTTTCCACTGTTTTAGAACCTAAAAAAGCTTGAAATGTCTGGGAATTCCCTTTATTTCATGTTGACATCTGCTTTCTATAGTCAGAATAGTTCCTGTGTGCATATTTGTATTGCTCTGATGCCTACCCGTGTCCAAAGCAAAATATGGTGACCTAAGATTTAATACATTGTCAATTCTAATTTTAACATAGACAAATAAACGAAAATCAAAATAAATGGATAAATAAATAATGTTTTGTCCAACATTTATCCATCCATCCATCCATTATCCAACCTGCTTATCCTACTGGGTTGCGGGGGGTCTGGAGCCTATCCTGGAAGCAATGGGCATGAGGCAGGGAACAACCCTGGACAGGGGGCCAGCCCATTGCAGGGCACACTCACACACCATTCACTCACACATGCACACCTATGGGCAATTTAGTAACACCAATTAGCCTCAGCATGTCTTTGGACTGTGGGGGGGAAACCAGAGTACCTGGAGGAAACCACATGACGACAAGGGAAGAACATGCAAACTCCACACACATGTAACCCAGGTGGAGACTCAAACCTAGGTCCCAGAGGTGTGAGGCAACAGTGCTAACCACTGCACCACCATGTCGCCCCCTGTCCAACATTTATTTTTTCATTAATTATTACGCTTCAACCAAGATGATACATACTAAAAATTTGTGAAAGGAGGCGTGACGTTCATCCAGTACACAACTCACATTTGAGTTACAGTATATGACTCATTTCCACCATCTAGTGGAGAGATGTCATTGCCCAGCTGCTACAGTTGTGGTGACATTAGTCATCAGGAGGTTCTGAAACATGTATTTACATCTCATTATTTGAATATTTGCACATGGTGTTGGACTTTTGTGAAATTTAATGAAGTAATCATAGTCATTGTTTAGATGTACATATATGTAAATGACACATAGATCAAAAGCCTAGACGAGCGTGACATTGTAGGGAACAGATAATGGATGATTTGCATCTGTTTGACATCAGTCATTTCCCAGAGATCTACTAGTCCCACAGACCAACAATGGATCATTTTTAAAATGATGTCACCGTACCCATTGCTTTTATTATAGTTATCTTAACTGTGTTGAAAACGTGTCCTTCGTCTCAGACTTGGTGCCAGGCACAGAATACGGCATTGGGATCTCAGCCATTCTTGAGGGAAATCAGAGTTCCCCAGCAACAGTTAATGCCAGAACAGGTGAGGAATATTGTCCTTTCTTCTGGTTTCTACACTAATTGTCAGCAGTTGACAAAAACAGTTTCTGATGTTTTGATCATTTTAATGAGAGAAACATAAGAAAAGGATATAAAATGACCAGTTAGCATTTGATTAATATACAGATTAAAATAGATAAACTTCTAAACCTCAGGGGTATTCAACTAAAATTTAAAGAGGTCCAGTTAGAGAAAAATTCTTGAAGCAAAGGTCCGGAAGATTATAATGTCTAACTATTTAATAGTGTGATATATATTTCAGTAGCCTATTAGTTGCATCAACATTGTATGTAATCAGTACCTGACTGTCAAATCAAATTAATTCAGTACAATTCAAAAACGTTTTGACATTATTTATTGTCACGTGACATAGAACTTCGGCCAGCTGGCTGGAGTGAGATTTTCAATTCGAGATGTCTGCACACATGTAACAGTTCTTACCTTGTAAATAGTCTGCTTTTGTATTTAACCGTGTAAATACACTTTTGACGTAGCTAATTTTACGTTTTATAATGAAGTAATATAGATTTGCCGTAAGATTTCCAGCATGAGTCTGAAAGCGTGAGTGTCATGCCAGATGCTTGAGATTTGGCAACCCTGAAAACGTACATTTTTTGTTTCGCATGAGTTTATTTATATAACAGATAACATTACTTTATACATATGTTAAAATACAGAAACTTCAACGAACATGAAATCAACAATAAACTACGTCTATTTATCCAACGTGTTATATAATACATATTGTATTTGAAAGCTTTTCAGCTTTACGATTTCAGGAGAACGCAGCCACTCTGTTAGGAACATTACGCTTTTTGTTTGCGGGTGTTGGCTTTGCTGCTGCTATTAACACGAAAGGCACAATAGCGCAGACAAAGGGCTGCATACGCCGAAATATATGTCTTGCTTGGCGTTCAAAGGCGTTTGACGTTCATTGGCGTGGGAAACGGCGGTTCTACTATAAACGACTACCGAAAAGACTACAAACGCTGCGCCGGTTGAAATAAAAGCGCCCCGTCTGGTTTTAAATAATAACTAAATGTTTTGGCTGTCGGTCCGGGTCCGTATGGTACAGCTTCTGGGTCCGAACCCGGACCGCGGTCCGCCTGTTAGTGACCGCTGCTCTAAAGTGTTTCATGTATGGGCGCTTTTCCACTGCACAAAGTACGGTACTTTCGCTTTTCCATTGACTTCCGGTCGAGTACCAGTACCGAAATCTCGAGTACCGAAAGTGCCAAACCAGTTGGGGTACTTCTTTGGTACTTCGGTACTTTGGGGTGGGACCAAACGTATTTGCTGTCGATTGGTTATGCAAATAGCCTGCCGCTGAAACACAAAATACAACCGCCATCTTTTGAAATACACAGCGAGAAACAAAATAAAAAGCAGTAGAAACAAAAATATAAAAAAGTAAAATGGAAGGATGGACAAACGAGGAAACACAGGCTTTAATCGCCATATGGTCGGATGAACAGATCCAGTGGGATTTGGATGGCACGACTCGAAATAAAAAAGGTTTTGCCGTCCCGAGCAGTTAAGTTTCCCTATTTTTCCCCTGTCGCGCGCTGATTTGTACACGGTTTCGCTGTTGTTTTCATGTCTTTTTACGAGGTAAACAAGCCATATATTAATTTTAAAACATAACATGCCTTTTGTATGTTTTTTGTTTTTACAGATAATAAATGAAATTACTTAATTCGCTGGATAGAGGTATTTCTTGATGAAAACGGTATAGTATTGCTTATAAGACTATATTATGCGTGACGATCTACTGTATTCACATGTAATAATGTACCTGAGTGATTTTCAGACATTTCACATACCTCTTTGCTTTAATATTAGGAGAAACATTATTTCCTGATAGACAGGAGAAATATAGGGACACTTAATTGCCCGGAACACCGTAATACCAAGCCGCTTGGAAGAAGTGGGGCACACGCGAAACACCGAACAATGCCGCTTGAAAATCAAAAAACATAATTAAATAATTTGTTTGCTTTCAAAAGTAATTCTTACTGCTTTGATTGGCTTAGCCAAAGTAAGTGTACCTACGTAAACGTAATTGATGGCAGCATGATTTGGATTTTACTGAATCTTATACTGTGATAGAAGCTAACAATAAACCGCATTTTCCAGCCTCAACTGTTAGTTTTAATTTTGGGCTGTCAGTCAGGGGCGGTCACCGATGATGTCATTTGGCGCCGGTACCATTTTTTACGCCAGTGGAAAACCGACATGAAAGAAGTACCAAACTTTCGGCACTTTATGAAAGTACCGAAAGTACGGTACCTGGTGCGGTGGAAAAACGCCCATATGAGTTCAGAAAGGCTTGTAGTAAAGCCCTTATAGAGTACGGACTGTCCCCGACTTACGTCCTGTGCGGTTTATGACGGCATGCACATTTGAAGTTTTTTTTTTTTTTTTTTGTATTTGAAAATAAATTTAGGAGCGGCCATATGCCCTAACATTCAGTGTGATTATCCTGTTCTGACATGTGACCCGTCTGTTGGAACGGAACCCTGTCCTAAGTCCAGCACAGCCTGTATCTGTAAACTTAGACTCATTAAATCTGTGGCCTTGGTTGTATTCTGCAGGCCTGGATGCTCCCCCAGACCTAACGGTGACAGCCTCAACAGACAACACCATATCTCTGCTCTGGGCTCCAGTTCGGGGCCCCCTTGACCACTACAGGGTGTCCTACACATCTTCTACAGGGGAGACCAAAGAGATGACTGTGTCCAATGGCCTCAACACTGCAGTGCTGACTGATCTGGAGCCTGGCACAGAATACACCATCACTGTGAGCACTCAACGTGGCCGGCAGCAGAGTACAGCAGCCAGCATTGACGCCTTCACAGGTGATGGGAGCTGGAGGTGGCAGCCTGCCATGATGCACAGAGGATGTACAGCCTTTGGTGGTCTTAAAGAGTACTCATTAAAGATGATGCACAGAGGATGTACAGCCTTAGGTGGTCTTAAAGAGTACTCATCAAAGATGATGCACAGAAGATGTGCAGCCTTAGGTGGTCTTAAAGAGTACTCATTAAAGATGATGCACAGAGGATGTACAGCCTTAGATAGTCTTAAAGAATACTCATCAAAGATGATGCACAGAGGATGTACAGCCTTAGGTGGTCTTAAAGAGTACTCATCAAAGTGTCTGGCATATAATTATGGCACTAACTTTAGGTGTAGAAAATTATTATTATTATTATTAATAATAATAATAATTATTTGTATTATTATTGTAACACTTTACTTAAAGCTCCCATGTATAATGCACTATCGATACCTTCATAAGAATTAAGGATATTTTGTACTTCATAATGAAATAATGCACAATAAGCACAGCTATAATGTGTTATACCTGTTTCTAAATATTTATAGCCATGGTCATAATGCTTTCTGAATGTGGATTGTGTTAATCCTATCTGATTGTGTGGTCTGTGTTGATTAATTACACATTCACCCTCATCATTACCTGCTTAAATGGCTTGGTTCCTTCATCTTGTGTTAATTCAAACCCTCATTAGGTCAGTGTTTCTTCATTCTGGCAGAACTTCTCACCAGCTTACATTAGCAGTTCTCTTCATCCATCAATCTTAGGGGAAGGCTCAGTTTTCATATATAATCTTTTTTCCTGTTATTTCAAAAACCTTTTCACAATAACGAGCCATTTGTCACTGTGGCAACATCTTTTTGGATTCCCACATGTGCACATGTTCATGGAGAATTTGACATTATTTCCTTTCAACATATGGAGCTATGGATTAGCTACTGTAAGACCAGCTTCTTCTTGATCTCCTTCCTTCTTCTCTGGCCTCACATCTCCATTATCCCTCAGAATCCATCACTTTAACTCTTAGCTTGTTATATAGTCTCCATTTTCACCATGTGAAATTATTTCTTCTGCACCATGAAGGACAGAGTATTTGAACTTGGGTGGCTTTGGTTTCCAGGTTTCCGTCCTGTCATGCAGCTCTATTTCCCAGACGTCACCTCCTCCACCGTGACAGTGGCTTGGAATGCCCCTGCCCCGCCGGCCGACATGTTCATCTTGACTTACACCCCGCAGGATAGTGACGACACCCTTGTGGTCACTCTGGAGGGCTTTAAGACCCAGACCATCGTCAGCGGCTTACATCCTTCTACCCTATACAAAATCACTCTAATCACTCAGCAAGGCAACATGACCTCTGAACCAGTCACAGGCCTGGTCATCACAGGTACACATCTCTAAAAATCGAGCAAAAAATAGATTGGGGGGGGGGGGTGTTTCACAAAGCAGGATTTCTCAGTTAGCTGAGTTAGCTAGAAGTCAGGACTGTCCAAAAAGAGCTTAGGTAAGGAGCATTCCTATTGGAAAATCATGACTTCTAGCTTAAGGTAACCCAGGTATCTGAGAGATCCTGCTTTGTGGAACACCCCTCTGGCTATGAATAGGTTTGACATCAAACAACAGATATCTGGCTCAATAAAAACACCCCCAGTTCACAAGCCTCCACACCAAAAGCCTTGGGTACCTGCTTTCTCAGTCGGAATGTTACAGGCCACAGAACTGGGGAAAGTAGCTGTGTATAATGCAAAGACAGGGAGATTTCAGACAATCCACCATTTTCCTCCTGAACACAGATGGGCCGCACTGCAGGATCTTGGCTCTGAAATTCAGTTAAACTGAAGGCTTTAGATTCAGCTTCGGTGACATGTTCACTCATTGAGTCTCTCAGCACAGTTGCTTTGAGGATCCTCTGCTCTTTTTTTTTACAGAGCTTCTATCTGTATTCCCTTCTTAATGATCTTTGCAAGAGTCACACTGCATCTGAAAGGTGTTTCTTCATAATATGAAAACATGAAGTGTGTGGTTTAGTGGGTTAAGCCTCTGTGCTCTGTGAGCAGAAGTTTTCTGGTTCATGTCCAGCCTGGGTACGTCTGTGGGTCCTTGAGCAAGGCTCTTAACCCCCAGTTCCCTGCATGCTGCTATGGGTGGCTCACCTACAGAGAGCCCGTTTGGGGCAGCAGAAACAGAAAGTCCCCATGGGGATCAATAAAGTATCAGGGGCTAAGTCAGGTTTGCCTGGGGGGATCAATAAAATTTCAGGGGCTGAGTCAGGTTTATCTGGGGAGATCAATAAAGTATCAGGTGCTAAGTCAGGTTTACCTGGGGGGGATCAATAAAGTATCAGGGGCTAAGTCAGGTTTGCCTGGGGGGATCAATAAAATATCAGGGGCCGAGTCAGGTTTATCTGGGGAGATCAATAAAGTATCAGGTGCTAAGTCAGGTTTACCTGGGGGGATCAATAAAGTATCAGGGGCTAAGTCAGGTTTGACTAGGGGGATCAATAAAGTATCAGGGGCTAAGTCAGGTTTGCCTGGGGGGATCAATAAAATATCAGGGGCTAAGTCCCTTTTTTTTACTTTTTTTTTGAAAGAAGAGTGGAATCGAAGGCAAAATATTTGGGGATATGCTTAAAATACTCAGGGCTATAGCCCTGAATGATCGGACCTAACGATGATGCTATCGAGAATTGTCATTCGGAGTAAATCTCTTTACCATCAGTGAGCCAATAAGCACGCAACACGCATATACCAAGATCTAATATGACTTGCCGATATGACGTTATCATAGGTAATGAACGATATCACCTTTGTTGGTGAAATAGACTTATTATATAAATAGGCTATAGAGAAAGCAAGATTTAGCTTTCAGTAAAGCCTTCTAGCCTATGTTTCTGACGAAGTTTGAAAAACAGACATTGGTTTTATTTTTAAACTCCTTATATGGTACCCGGAGGTATGCAGATGCTGGTTATAATGGTAGTACTTGGCTAGGGCTTTGTGAGCCACTGCTTTAGATGGTTCAACAGTCGATTATTTTCCACAGAGACTAATGGTGCTTTTCCACTGGCATGCACGAACCGAGCCATACTGGGAAGAGAGACTAGTTAACCTCAGCATGTTTTGGACTGTGGGGGGAAACCAGAGAACCCAGAGGAAACCCCACAGGGACACAGGGAGAACATTCAAACTCCACACACAAGGTAGCCAGGGCAGAGACTGGAACCTTAGTCCCAGAGATAGGCGGTAACAGTGCTAACCACTGTGCCACCCAGGGTCACATGATATACAATGGACTGTTCACTGTACGGCTCAGTTCTTGGTGGCAGTGGAAAATTGCCATGAGTAACAATGAGCAGCACAGTGAGTGTGTGGTGGGGGGTGGACGACTCAGTATTATCATTTATCACTTCTTGTTTTTAACTAGAATATCACAAATTACTTTTCAGGTATCGCCAAGCGCTTAGATCTAATAATTCTGCTGATTGGTAATGTTACACTAACATGTAGTAGAGGCATACAGGAAAAACACCACAGTACGCTCAGAGACAGGGCTCGCGTGTGTGTTTTGAACCCACACTCAGAGGTATAGGTGATAGGTCCAAGAGTGCATACATTGATTTTAAATGCATATTTCACCTGAAAATCTTCTGTTGAATTTGCTATGTGTAATGCATGCTTTGTCAGGGCAGGCCTGCTGTAGTAATAATTATTAAGAGGATAATTTTGGACACTGCAATTAAAATATAGCCTAATATATGAAAATTTCAATTACTCATAAATATTTTGTAAGTTATGACCAGTTAACCTTCAGTGATATTTTTACCCAGCTAGCACCAGTACCTCTGTATGAATATGGCGCACAGCCCCAAAATCGAGGTATCGGTACCAATATCGATTTTTTAACAATACCCAGCCCGAGATGGAAATACTAGACCAAGATACAACACTGTGGTTTTGGAACTTTATAGCAAATGTTTGGAATATAAAGTATCATATCAAACAAATGTATGCAATTTATAATAATATCTGAGGGCTACATGCTATTTGTAAATATTGCAGGGGCATGAATGATTTATGGTTGGGAAGAAACCAGCCATGCACCCATGCACATTTGAACATCAGACCAGTGGGCACACCGTTTATAGTCATCTGTGTCTGAATGTAAATGTATTACATCATCATTGGCCCATGCAGACTGAGGAATCTATGCTCTCTGGCAGGTATGGACCCCCCCAGGGAAGTGACTGTGTCTTCAGTCACTGAGGACTCAATAACAATATCCTGGACAGAGCCTCTTGCTCCTTTTGGCTATTACAAGATGTCTTACGAGCCGTCCAGAGGTACTGCAATTCCCACGGCTCTTATGTTGTTCATTCACTTCAGAAATTTAGGCACCATTCATGTTGCAACTTGAACAATCCACAGACTGCATACATCTGAGGAAGTGAAGTAGTTTAGTAGATGTCATATCAACACATTTTTGGTAATAATATGTATGATATAATATTTAATAACTTCAAGATTAAAATTATACAACTGCAGACTGAACATTGGTACTTACATTTAGTACATGAGTCTGTGTAAATTAATTAAGGAGTAGCAAATAACAGCCATGCATGTGGCAATAGTACTACCTCTGCCATGGAAGTCATACAGTGACCTTTTACAAAAAAGTGTTTTTGTATATTTGCTATTTAATGAAGGCAAACATGTCACTGTGGTTAACAGGAAGGGTAGACAATGTACAGATTGATAGCAGTGTGACCAACTACACCCTGGACAGCCTGCACCCTGCGACGGAGTATGTGATCAAGCTGAGCACGGTGCGCAGCACCCAGGAGAGCGACACCGTCACTACCCGAGTCTTCACAGGTGTCATCTCTCTGTCCAGCTGTCTGTCTGCCTGTGTATCTGTGTGCTGATTGGCCAGTTGCCTATAATCATACATGTGTGACTAATGTTAATGTTTCAACATTAAGAAATACACACACACATCCCACAGCTCAAAAGAATAAGTGTGAACCAAGTAAGAGGCTTGAACATTTCACTAAAGGTGCATCACTGCCGGTTTACATTCTGTCTAATCTTGGTTAGCATTTTCCTCTCTCCATCTCTCCCTTGCAGCTATGGATGTACCCCTGGATCTGATTGCCCTGAACATCACCCCTCAGGGGGCCCTCCTCAGATGGACTCCCCCTCTCGCTAATGTAGACGTCTACATTCTAACCCTAACTTACAACCAAGGTATGTGGAGTCATATTTTCTCAGCAGTTGTGAGGTCAATGAGGAGCTCAGTGGGTCAATAATTCACTCATGGGTTATGATCAGGGTTTATTTCATCTGCTCTCAAAATATTGTGTATAATGCCAGGGATTAGATGCCGACATGCACTTTTATACTAATTTGTTTAAATTATGGGGAATATGTGAAGGCCCCAGTATATTTCAACTCTAAAATGTGCTAATTTTCGGCTGTTGGATGTTCTTCTTGCTGTGCTCCACCTGTGAAGTTCTTTCTGCAGCGGTAACATAAAGACTCCCATTTACAGGAGCTCTAGAATACAATAAATAGTCTTTGTAAGTATAATATGACAAACATCAGTACAGTAGAAGGACATGTCATGATGTTTTTGTGACATGAAGAGATATCTAGAGCCAAAACAGGAGGCAAGAAACAGAGAATTCAGGTCGAGCAGGGCTCAAGAAACAAACTATAGCCTGAAACTGATTTATTGCTCTTTTATTTTTGTAAAGAACAGATCAGAACCTTAAGCATGTATCTAGCTGATACTGTGACAAAAGCCTGTTGTTTGATTTGATCTCTGAGCTAATGTCTCCTGTTTGCTGTAGTGACTGCAGACACCATTGTGGTAGAAGGCAGCAAACAGGAGTACTTGTTGAGCAAACTCATCCCCAGCACCACCTACTCTGTCACCATCTATGCCACCAAGGGCCCGTTGACAAGTGGCACCGTCATCACCAACTTTGCCACACGTATGTACCGTCCATGCCTGCATAAAAAGTAATGGCCATTTAACTTTATTGCACTATACTGAATGTCTTATACTGTGAGATTTTATTGCAGTTGTGCTCATATGCCAAAGCTGCCAAACAGCTAAAGGAAAGGAGCAGTGGAAGAAATATCAGCACTGCAACCGACTGCAACCATTTAAAACAACTTTACGTTTTCGGCATTGAATGACTGAACATCCAACTATGTATTGTCTAAAAACATCAATAAATTAGTTTACTTGTAAAGTAAGTCAAACACATTGACAGACCAAAGTGCTGCACAATGAAAGATAGATCAAAGATTGAACTATAAAAACAAATTGAAATTAAAAACAATTAAATCAAAATTCAGTATACAATGATTAAAAAAAAATACAGATGGATATTTTTTCACAAACTACTTTAAAACTGAAAGGTTCCTGTGCTCGGCTAATTAGTTCAGTTCTTCTTGTGCTTATACTGATTTGTTTCCTTGATTGAACTATTCATCTAGTTGTTTCACATTAACATTAGTGACACATCCATGATTATAGGACGTTCCCATGTTGTGAAGCAGACCACCCAGCAAACCCTTCCTAACCCTTCCTCAGTCAAATCGCTGACCCGTGCAGATTCTGTAAAGATATTTTATTATTAGATATTAAGTTGGCTTGAGTTTTCCCATCACAATTTTTCATAAAGTCCAACCCCAAATCCCAAGTTTGGCCAGTCTTTGCCTGGAATGCATGAGCCAAGCCCTAGACTGTAATGTCACTAAGGAGGAGCTTCATTCACAGCCATGGATGCACCCTGGAACCTGACGGCCAGCGAGGTGAACCACCACAGTGCCCTCGTGTCCTGGCAGCCGCCACTCACCCCCATCGACAACTACATGCTAACCTACCGGGCGGGCGATGGTGCACGCAAGGTGAGGGTGGCCGGGTGGGCGATGGCGCACGCAAGATGAGGGCAGCCGGGCGGGCGATGGCACACGCAAAGTGAGGGTGGCCGGGCGGGCAGATGGTGAGTGCAAGGTGAGGGCGGCCAGGTGTCCAGAAAGTGCATGCAAGGTGAGGGCGGCCGGGCAGGCAGACGGCGCACGCAAGGTGAGGGCGCCTGGGTGGCTAGACGGTGCCCATGGCTCTGTCCTTCTGCTGGGCACTGGAGCTGCAGGGAGTTTGACAAGACAGCTGATCATTCAAAGACAAGCAGGTGTTTGTACTGTTTCTTTAAATGTGTTTTGTTCTAGATAATGATGGCAATGGAGAAATCCTACAAACAAATGTACTTCATATTTTTTTTCTCAAAAGGACTAGAAAGTTTCAGTTTGTCAGTCTAACAGACTTACTGTACATTTCCATTTACTATCTGCACATCCTGCCCCAGGAGCTGATCCTAGACGCTGAGGACACCTGGATTCGCTTAGAGGGTCTCGCTGAAACGGCAGAGTATATAGTGTGGCTGCAGGCGGCTCGTGGCCTAGAAACCAGCGCCATTGTCTCCAGCTCCTTCACCACAGGTGCTGTAACACCAAGAAAAAACCCTTTTTGAACTTATCTGGTGTCACTCCAGATAAAATGTTAAAAATGTGGCAAACTCATTGTCTGGGTGTTGAATCGGCTTCCATTACATTACAATACATTTGCCGACTCTTTATACTAAAGCAGTGTACAAGTGAGGCAAACTTGATTCTGTAACACAAAGAACTACAAAATCTGAGCTTATCGCACACTCACTGTTGACTCCGGATCTAGACAAGAACTCTATCAGCACTCAACTGCTTATCCTGCTAGTCCCGGATGTAGAAGGACTGTATTCTAAACCACTGAAATTTTGGCAGCGTATTTGTAAAGCGAAAATAAAAGGACTGAATATTGAATTATGAAGACGGTATTAAAATACACCGAATGTTTCCAACTGAAGTTGTCTTGAAATTTATTTTGAGGTGAAAGTAAATTAACTGAATTCAGGTGATTGAATTATAAAAATGAACTTCATAAACTGTATATTTTCGAACAGAATTGTGGAAGCCGAGTATTTTTGCATACATTATTTTACCAATGAAATTACCCCTGAAATGTTTTCAACTGAAATATTCCATGTTTAAATGTACATTGATATTAAATTACAGCCCCCAAATATTCAAGCATTATTAAATGCAATGCATTTTTATTCAGTTAGTGTAATTCAACGTGCTTCTTTTGCATCAATGAGTTTTGTCATTAATTTATTTCCATAGGGGGATTACAGAAGCAGCATTACAGAACATCGAAACATATGAATCAGCAGAATATCTTCCTTTCTGTGGTAATTTTCAGAGAAGTTAGTGTCTACAGGTTACAGTTTGACAACTTTTCCTGCGTCCTTCCCAGGTAACCGGCTGTTCAGCAGCCCACAGAACTGCGCTCAGCACCTGCTGAACGGGGAATCCATCAATGGCCTTTACACCATCTACCTGAATCGGGATCCTGCACAGAGCTTGCAGGTTTACTGCGACATGACCACAGATGGAGGGGGCTGGATTGTGAGTATCCACACTGTGAGGGTGGGAATGAAGGCGGGGGTGAAGGTAGGAATGGGGGCTGGGCTGAATACAGGATTGAGGGCAGGGCTGAAGGTAGGAATGGGTGTGAGCCTGAAGGCGGGAATGACGGGGGGCTGAAGGCGGGAATGGGTGCGGGACTGAAGGCGGGAATGGGTGCGGGACTGAAGGTGGGGATGTAGGCGGGGCTGAAAGCGGGAATGAGGACGGGACTGAAAGTGGGAATGACAGGGGGCTGAAGGTGGGGATGTAGGCGGGGCTGAAAGCAGGAATGAGGACGGGACTGAAGGCGGGAATGACATGGGGCTGAAGGTGAGGATGTAGGCGGGGCTGAAAGCGGGAATGAGGACGGGACTGAAAGTGGGAATGACAGGGGGCTGAAGGTGGGGATGTAGGCGGGGCTGAAAGCAGGAATGGGTGAGGGACTGAAGGCAGGAATGAAGGTGGGAATGGGTGTGGGGCTGAAGGTGGGAATGAGGATCTGGCCAAAAGGGTAATCATGTCACTGTCTGCCACTTGGGCAAAGCCATGAAGCCCATGAGATGCTTTGGGGTGCTGTAAGTGTGCCTGAGCCTGTGTTTCTCTCAGGGTGAGAGTGGCGGGATACCTGTAGTTCTGTCTGTGCTCTGACACTCTGTGTCATCTAAAAAGCATAACATGGATTGGATGGATCTGTTTTGCTGATTCTGTAACATCTCCATTGCAAGGTTGTCCAGCGGCGTCAGAATGGCCTGACCGACTTCTCACGGAAGTGGAGTGATTACAGAAGTGGTTTTGGGAACTTGGAAGATGAGTTCTGGCTGGGTAATAGAGCTTGTAGTGAAAGGAAACCCCATGCTACAACATGCTATCACAGTTTCATTAGAATTAGGTGCTGTCATTACTGTTTTTTCCAGCTGCATATCACTTCTGCTGTCAGCACCTTTGTTCAGGGTCCAGAGAGAAATACTGAATTGAATGTCGCACACACAGAATGCATGTGTACCCCTCAGTTTAGTTCGTGTTAACAATTATTCTCCATTCCCCTTTATGTACACTGACAAATGTAGTCCTGTTCAATGATTTTATTTTTACATCTCTAGTGTTGTCTTTCAAACCAGGTCTGGAGAACATCCACAGGATCACGTCGCAGGGCCACTACGAGCTCAGGATTGACATGAAGGATGGGCAGGAATCAGTGTACGCCAACTACGACAGGTTTGCCATTGGGGACTCCAGAAACCAGTACAAGCTACGCATTGGAGAGTACAATGGCACTGCAGGTTGGTGTGCCCTTTGTGTGTCAGTCTTTGAGGAGAGTACAATGGCACTGCAGGTTGGTGTGCCTTTTGTGTGTCTGTCTTTGAGGACAGTACAATTCACTGCAGGTCCAGTGTGCCTTTTTTGTATCTGTCTTAGAAGAGAGTACAATGATACTGCAGGTTTGTCTGCCATTTGTGTGTCTGTCTTAGAGGAGAGTACAATGGTACTGCAGGTTGGTGTGCCCTTTGTGTGTCTGTCTTAGAGGAGAGTACAATGGTACTGCAGGTTGGTCTGCCATTTGTGTGTCTGTCTTTGAGGAGAGTACAATGGCACTGCCGGTTGGTGTGCCCTTTGTGTATCTGTCTTGGAGAGTACAATGACACTGCAGGTCCATTGTGCCTTTTGTGTATCTGTCTTAGAGGAGAATACAATGGCACTGCAGGTTGGTGTGCCTTTTTTGTATCTGTCTTAGAGAAGAGTACAATGGCACTGCAGGTTGGTGTGCCCTTTGTGTATCTGTCTTAGAAGAGAGTACAATGATACTGCAGGTTTTTTTGCCATTTGTGTGTCTGTCTTAGAGGAGAGTACAATGGCACTGCAGATTGATGTTCCCTTTATTGACATGGCCTCCTTTCTCACCTCCTTATTGACTGATGGAGACAGCATTTTTTTTTGCATTCATGAACATGTTTCCTTATGACATCAACTTAAGCCAAAGTCATGCTTCAATCACTATATTTTAATTATTATTTATTTACTTTTACTTTAAAATTTGTGGACTATTCAGGGCACTCCAGTACAATCGCCGAGGATTCAGTTCTACTTGTCATTGACTCATCTCTTTTGCCTGCAGGGGATTCCCTAAGCTACCACCAGGGCCGTCCCTTCTCCACTAAAGACAGAGACAATGACGTTGCTGTCACCAACTGTGCTCTATCCTACAAAGGGGCCTGGTGGTATAAGAACTGCCACCGAGCCAACCTGAATGGCAAATACGGCGAGTCCAGGCACAGCCAGGTAAGGCCACTGCAGTTTATTGTCATTGGGGGCCCTAGTCACTGTCCCATTCCTATTGGTGTATGGGGTGGCGGAGGGGCGGGGCATGCCTTGGCTGCACCGAATGCAGTTGGCAGGTCCCCACACCATTTTCTGCTTTCCTGACCTGCTTAATAATTCTTTGTCTCCAGGGCATCAACTGGTTCCACTGGAAGGGCCATGAATTCTCCATTCCATTTGTGGAGATGAAGATTCGACCTTTCAACTACCGCAGCATAAGTGGAAAGAGGAAGCGGTCCACTGGACTATAACCCACCCCTCCCTCACTAAGACGTTCCTATTTTAGGGGAAGGAGAGATGGAGGCATGTCAGTTATGTAATTAGGGAGAGATGACTGTCCTATGAACATCCTGAAGACAGGGGGTGCAGCAGGTGCTTGTAACACTGCTTTATTCTTCATTTATTTGCTCCATTGCAGTGGTGTGGAAGGACAGCCAGTGAGTGTCTGTACATACTCAGCTGCTGTTTAGAGCCAGGCCCACTTCACTTCTACTCTTTTATCAAGAATTTTAACAAAACAGTATGCACCCTAAAATGACTGACATTTCTATTTTTATAACAAAAATACTCTACCCAGTCCTGCTGTTTTTCCATGTTAATGTTTCTGCTTTTATGTTAATGTTACTTGCCTGTTAACCATGTGCTGTCCCTGACTGGAATGAGATATAACTTGCAGGGATGGGAAAAGACCTGAGAATTGCTTGATAATTACTGGCATGCGATTTCACTCTTTTGTACCTACCAATACAGTAACAAATCCAAATTATGATGAGGTCTTCTTTATAAATAGATTTTAAATCTGTTCAGCCTCAAGTAAAGGAGACTGAGGGGGTACATGATCCAGGTCTATAAGATTCTAACAGGTTTGGATGCTGTTCAACCGAATAGTTACTTCAGCATTAGTTCAAATACAAGAACTCGTGGCCATAGGTGGAAATTAGCGGGAGAACATTTCAAACTGGATTTAAGGAAGCACTTCTTTACACAGCGTGTAGTCAGAGTATGGAATAGTCTTCCTGATAACGTAGTGCAAGCTGAATCCTTGGGTTCCTTTAAATCAGAGCTAGATAAGATTTTAACAACTCTGAGCTATTAGTTAAGTTCTCCCCAAGCGAGCTCGATGGGCCAAATGGCCTCCTCTCGTTTGTATAGCTCTTATGTTCTTATGTTTTCCTTTAGCGCTGAGAGATAAAGAACAGAATTTGGTCTTCTGCATTACCCTAATATTATGTAATAACTTATGTGAGTCCTATATATATATATATATTACTGTTGTAGTAATATAGGTCATTCAAGTAACATTTATATCCAGTAGAAGGTGACTGTGGGCCTGGAGTCTTCGCAGGCCATGAAATGGAGAACATCCTAGGTGAGATGCTAGTCCACACCAGGGCACACGCAATAAGGGTGATTACAGTTACAAGTTCACCGAAGAACAGGAAACCTACACAGACACTGGGAGAACATACACACACAGCATCAGAAGCAGCATTTGAACCCATGTCCCTGCCGGTATGAGGTTACAGTGCTAAACATGTAATTGGAATACATCCAGCCATCTTCTACCTGCTTGTCCTGGTCCGGGTCACAGGGCCTGGAGTCCATCCCAGGCAGCACAGTGCACATCCTTTGCATGACCCTACACTACTACACCTCCGGCATGCATTTCATTTTTTTTTTCTGGGGTTTATTGGATAATCTAATATATTTTTATTTCCTCAATTATTAGTGTCAAAATGTTAATTTATTGTAACTAATATTAAATCAATAATGGTATTCTAGGACGATGTGAAGAAAATCGGTAATGACAATGAAAATCATGGGAAATGAAAGGAAATTTGTAAAGTGCCACACGCCCTAAGTTAAGCATTTTCATATTAATGTATGTTCCAGTGACACTAACCAGAATAAGTGTTTAGTTGGTTGGTTGGATGGATGGATGGATGGAAGGATCATATTTAATATGAATGGTTAATTTCAAAATGAATATCAAGCCACACCTCACCACCCCTGACTGAGAACTTTTTCTGGTCATGGTAGACTTCACATTTTTACTATTTATTTTTAAAAATCAAGAGAATGTGAAATTCACAGAGCTCTGCTGTTTTCATAGTTGTACATGAAAATATTATCTTTCCTAAGGCCCCATTAACATTAATGATTTATGCTGTAATATTTGTGTTTATAACATTATGATCTATTTAAGAATCCATTTTCTGCAGATATGCTTCCCAGACTATTAAGATTTCTACAATTGTCCTGTTGATTGTTTTGGCAAAATGTATGGATTGGTTGAAAACCTGCTGGCATGGAAAGTTTGTGATACCTTATTTTGTACTGACACATCTTTATGTTAATGTGCTGGTATGTTTCTTAAGCACGTTCTGATGATATGACCTTCATGTCACAATCTGCCAGAAGCAATATCAAAAGTGAACACCATCAGTCCCACTGTCTCACTTCATACAAATGGTTGTACCTAGAAAATGTTTAAAGGATATTTGAAAATCATCCTTTATTATCACCAAAAACAAAATTAGACATCCTGGAGCAAGTCGGTGCTTGGATGTGTCTGAAGCTCAGGCTGTGCAGCTTAACAAAGCACTGCTCTATACAGACAAGGAAAACCCCACTGTCACAGGAAGCAGAGCTCTCAGGATGTGGGACAGACTTTCTGTTTCTACACGATATACACCAGCTTTTACCAACAGTGTAATAACAGTATGTCTGCCTCTCACAATGAACTCTGCATAATTATTTTAATTAATAATACAATATTAACTGTCAACTTCTTAATCTATGACATGTACTAACCCTCTATGTCTGATATCTGCATATTTTTTTATTTGCAATGTGCACGATACTTTTAGCTCTCATCTATAATGCATTACAGATACTTTTATGTTGCATTATAATGACCGGTATAAGAATTAATAAAGCATACAGCATCATCTATTGACAGTCAAAACACATTATAGTGTTGATAATAATACTTCATAAGCTCCAGTGAAGCTCACATATATAATGCACTATAGATACCCTTATAATGCCTTATAATGATCGGTATAAGCATTAAGGCTGCTTTGTACTGCATAATTAAGGTATCTAAAGCGCATTATAGATTCATAATGTATTCCTAATGCATAATAAACATGTCTATAATGTGTTATACCTTTTTATAAATATTTATAACCATGTTTATAATGCTTTATAAAAGCATTACAATGTGTCATGAATGTGTTCATAGATTCTTATAGACATGGCATTCATAAAAAGTGTTACCATATGTACAATGTTTGTGTAAAGTGTCGATCCAGGCTTGCAGGCAGTATTTTATTTTATTTATTGGCATGAGTACAGACTATTGCTTTAATCTTTATTATTTCTTTTTTTGTTTTGTTCAACTGATGCAAAGTGACTGCCTCTCCTTGCCAACCAAGACACTGTAAACATGTCGCTATTTTTTTCATCTATGCTTTAAACTTATGAGAAGCTGAAGGAAAGCAAGCAAATGGATCCAGGACTGAGAGCATGGACAGAGATGGGAGCCCTGCTTTGTGGCCGTCCTGCAGGCACTGTGTCTGTAAGGTCTATGACGACAGGCATGATGTCAGTATCTGTGGCATAACTGATATTAATGTTAACCATCAGATTAGCTGAGCTGTAGATTAGCACCTGTACTTTTTGGCCCTTTTTAAAATACATTTTCTACATATTAATAAAATGTTCATATTGATGAAGTGCGTCCTCTGTGTTTTTGTCATTTTCCAATTAAGTCATATTTCTGCATCCAAGTACAGGGCTGCAGATAGCCTGGAGCGAGGATGCTCAGGAACTCCCTGGATGGATACCAGTCCACTATAGGAGGTGCACAATGGGCAATGTAAATGTGGCAGGTCACCCAGCCATTGGTGCAGGGACAAATATATAACTCGTATATAACTCTTGGGTGAGCATCAAACATGAAACTCCCCAACTGTCTGGGGGTGCAACAGTGCCATCCATTGAGCCACCACACCACCCAACTCCAACATTGCAGTTTTTTCCAGTCATTTTCACATTTGTCTCAATACCATATCCACTTTTTCACACCACTTCACACTGTACCAATACAGACCTGAGCACATCACTTAACCTTTGGTGCAAAATGCCCTACAACCAGCAAAACATTTCACAATTCACCCAAAAGTGACTCACGATGCCATAAAAATGACAAATGCTGTCACCCAACAACGCTACTGGGGCACTCAATGTTCAATGGGCTAAAAAACACTAACAACTTTCAGCATTGCAAATTGCATATATAAAGTGTGGCTGTATCCTCCAGTTTGGCACCAATTATTGTCATGTTGCATTTTAAAAATAAAATAAACAAGAACTACTGTTGCGTGTAAAAATTGTAATACCAACCAATTCTGAAATGCTACAATATATTTCATTAGAAATCATGTAGGTGTTGCCGTTTCTTTTTTGCAATATGTAAATATTTCATGCCTAGCAGACAGAGAAAGTTTGTTACAGTTGAGTATAGTAAATCTACAGTAAAACGGTACTGATTGTTTTACTGTAATAGAAACCAAGGAGCCATGTTTTACTGTAATGTAAAAATACATGATAAATAAATGAATCACAAATGCAACAGTGTAATTCAGTGGACTATATTTTTTCGTCCACACAGTGCAATATTTACTGTATTACCCCCCCCTCCCAAAAAAGGGAAAAAAATACAATCAATTACACCAACAAAAAATACAAGTCCTGTCTATCAATGGCTCAGAACATAGAACTGTTGGACTGGTCTATTCCATTCTATCCTCAGCATTTGGCCATAGATTTTCATCAACATCACATTGGATGTTGTCCTCTGCCATACACCGAGGAAAAAATCTCTTTGAGTGCCTTATCCAGCTCTGGATGTCCTCTACATGGATGTCCATACACCCAGCAGCCATTGCATCTAAAAGTGGCATCTTATCATATGACTGATGGTCATATACCTTCCATCCCCATGCAGAAAAAAATTCTTCAACGGGGTTGAGGAATGGAGAGTATGGTGGCAAGAATAATGACATCATCCTGGGATGGGCAATAAACCACTCTGTGACTTGGCGGGAATGATGAAAGGCCACATTGTCTCACACAATCACAAATATTGGTAAATTCTTCCTCTCCCTCCTGTGGGAGGTAAATGCTAAATCCTACAGTAGTGGGTTACAGTAAAGACAAACGTGCACCGATGCATCAGTTGCACAGATGCCACTGTGGATCTAGGCTGGTGGGGCTGCACTCTTAGACCTGGTTCCCTCAAGGACAGACCATGATTTATAACATGGTCAATTATTGTGGCTCTGATTTCATCAGTTACCATGGTTCTTCCTCTTCCCCTTCCTCTCTGTCTTCTTGCTCTTCCTCTGCCTCTTGCTGCATCCATTTTTCACTAGCTAAAGCAAAATTCCAATGGAAAATGCCAATCCAAAGATGGCCCCTATTGTACATACGGCAAATTGGCACTAACCAAACAAATTCCTAGATAGGTGCTCTTCTGAAATTACAGGCAGGTGAGTGTTTTCATTCAGCTTTCCAGCTTCAACCATTGTAAAATGCTTGGTGGTGATCTACGGGGATGGTGGTGGTTAGGGATGGGGGTTCGCTCAGTAGTTAGGGATCTGGCTGGGCTCCCATTAGGAACACCAAAAGATTGTGAGTTCACTCCCAGGGGTGCCACCATTGTGCCCCTGAGAAAGGTGCTTAACCCCAACTTGCTCCAGGGGAACTGTCCCTGTAGATACAGTACTTCACTGTAAGTCGCTTTGGATAAAAGTGTCACGCCCAGCTCGTCCGTTCCTCGTGTGTGTCATGCCCCCCTCGTTACCTCATGTTACTACCCAATTGT